AACTTAGAGCAGGCTTAGTTGAGCCTTGCACTTTTACCCTTTGCTGTGCCACCTCCCCTGAAAGACTTCAGCTCATTTGGTATTCTATGAACACATATGTTGTCCTACATAGTCTGGACATCTTCCTGTGCATTTTAAGCTAGACACTCATAGTCTGATTATACTAAATGTATATCAGGAAATAATTTGATGTTCATTCTTTGAATGGAACAAACATACAAATACTGTTAACTTCAAAGGTAACAAGCTTGCAAGTCTTGTTGGAGACGGGTCAGTGGGAAAAGAAAAAGATTTATGTTCTAAAATTTCCCCAGCATGCTGAAAGGACTGTAATGAGTCTATAATGAGACAGGGGTCAAAGGATTTCAGCTTGGCTGATGAGGGGCTGAGGGGTGGAGGTAAATGTTTTTATGAATCGTGCAGCAAGATAAGTAAGAAAGAGGCTGATGTCTGAGGCATTAACTAGATCTGTTTTTGAATATTCTCAAGGAAAATTTCTTTGGGTGAATACTGATAAATCATTGTGGATATAGTATGATCAATGACCAGGATAGAATATATAGAATACTAATTCTTCTTCCTCCATACTGAGCAAGAGATCAAAATAGGAGAAAATGTATGATTTTTCTGTATAGTTGGTGCTGGCCGATGAGTTGGAGATTGAGCCTTCCCCTTTATGTGTTCATTCTTGCCTGCTGGCCCTGCTCCTTCAAACAAACTGGCTTTCCCTTTGGATTTATTGTCAGTGGGACAGTGATTATCACAGGGAATGAAACCTGGGAATTACCTGTGGTTTACCCTCCCCTTTTAGCACAATGACCGTTATTTTTTGTTCACAGTATCCTTGCAACAGGCTGCTTCTATCCTATCTAACAGGCTATTGCTGAAATGGAACTGACTCATCTCTCTTGCTTTCTCTTCTTATATAATATGATTGTTATTTTTTAAAAAAGATTCCTAAAATGCTGCATATTTATCTCAGAAACCTTTACATTTCTCATAGGATAACACACAGCACTCCTTTGGCATTTAAGACCTTCCGCAGTCTGGTTTCGATCTTCCAAGTTTCATAGCAGCCATCTGCTCTGGACTCATCACTATTCCTGTCACTGTCATACCTGCATCACACCTACACCATCCTACTTCTGCCCCAGAGAAACATCAATGATGAAAAACATTGATTGGCTGCCTTCTGCACACCCCTCACTGAGGATCGAGCCTGTAACTCGAGTATGTGCCCTGACCTGGAATTGAACTCTGACCTGTTCACAGGTTGATGTTCAATCACAGAGCCATACTGGCTGGGCTGTTTATTACTTTTTTGTTGTTGTTTTGTTATACTCATTGGTCCCTTAATTTGTACTACACAGATTTGTATTGATCTCAGCATCTTTTCTGTTTCTCCAATGAGATTATAAATTCCTCAAGTTTGGGTTTTCACATGTTGTATCCCTAGAACCTAACATATAAGGGATGCTTGGTTAAAAAGGATTAGTGGTGATAAAATATATTCTATAAGGTCAGCACCTTTTCCTGAAATTGCAGAGGGTAGAGAGCGTAGGTCTTGATTACTCTGATAAAGAGGGAATTGCTGCTGGGGTAGAATTAGAGATATGAGCTGTTCCCTTTCCTGTAATGGTTCATGATGCATTTTTTAGAGACCCCAAATCAATAGAAGAAATGCTTATGTCTATGCTTGGCTTTGCCTCTAGGGGCCAGGAAAAGCAAACAAATGTTAAGCTCTCCTTCCTAGTTACTCAGTCTATGTATGCTGATAAAAAAAGAATTTACTCTTGTATTTTTGGCCTTGAAAGGGTCATTGCTTAAGATTCCTTTTTCTAAAGCAACAGTGATTTTTAAACTTCTTGTTTTTCACAAGCACTCCCTGTGCAAATCATTAAAAAAAATAGTCTTAAAAAAGATATTCTGTTCCTTTGCACATTAAATGTTGTTCTTAAACACTGGCAAAAGATATAATTTCCAGCATAGAATAAACATTGACATTTTTAAAAAGTGTTCATCGCTCTTCCAGATATAAACAGTCCTAATACCATCAACCATACAGAAAATACATAAAGATGTTTAAAGTTTTACATCTTTTCTTTTTCTCTTTGATCTTATGTTTTCATTGCAATTTTCCCACAAGATTTTATTCTATTATGATATAATACCTAGATGGGACCCAAAAATTTATTTGTGAAAATATAGGGTAATATTACTTGCAATAACAATAATAATTTAAATATATATATTGTATTTTATTGACTTCAGAGAGGAAGGGAGAGGGGAGAGATAGAAACATCAATGAGGGTGGATCATTGCTAGACTGCCTCTTGCACTCCCTCTACTGAGGATCCAGCCTGCAACCTAGGCATGTGCCCTTGACTGGAATCGAACCTGGGATCCTTCAGTCTGCAGGCTAACACTTTATCCACTGAGCCAAACCAGTAGGGCTAATAATTTTTTAAAAGTATGTTTTAGTTTGTACTATCACAGAAAGGACAAAAGTAAAGGTAGTAAAACTTATTTTTTAAGGTACTAAAACTTACTGTACAAACTGTTCACTAAATTGAGGAGGTCCTGACTGATCATAATGCTGTCACATTCTAACCACCACCACTAATACCACATGCCTTCTCCGGAGAAGTGTTGGGAATGGGGGACTGGGTTGGAGGATGTGGGCCAGTTCCACTAGACCAGATTTTCATATTGTGAAGTTTGTTGCCATAGGATTTACTATATATTTTTATACCTGAAGGTCATATTGTTTACTACCGTATTTCCCCGAAAATAAGACATCCTCCGAAAATAAGACCTAGTGCATGGAAAGATAAGCCATCCCTTGAAAATAAGACCTAGCGCAACTTTGGGAGAAAAAAATTAATATAAGACACTGTCTTATTTTCGGGGAAACAGGGTTTCATACCTTTTTGCAACTAAAATGACAAAATATTTTTTAAAGGAAGAAGGTCTGGGGGGATAAATGGTGATGAACTTGGCTTGGGGTGGTGAACATATAATACAGTGCACAGATGATATATGGTAGAATTGTGCACCTGAAACCTGTAAATTTTGTTAACCAGTGTCGCCCCAATAAATTCAATAAAAAGGGGGGAAACAAGTCCTCTTTCAATGAGATTAGTTTTTCTGGTTAGTTTATGTGCACTTGGATGATTATGGCACTGCTAGAATGAAAGAGGGGTTCAGGGTCAAATTTTTTTTATGCCTTTCATTTCTCTCTATGCGATGCTGAAAATAGCTCCTAAATAAAGAGATGGGAATGGAAGTAGCATCATTAAAATAGTTTTATTCACCGAAACCGGTTTGGCTCAATGGATAGAGCGTCGGCCTGCAGACTGAAAGGTCCCAGGTTCGATTCCGGTGAAGGGCATGTACCTTGGTTGCGGGCACATCCCCAGTAAGGGGTGTGCAAGTGGCAGCTGATCGATGATTCTCTCTCATCGATGTTTCTAACTCTCTATCCCTCTCTCTTCCTATCTGTAAAAAAATCAATAAAATATATATTAAAAAAATAGTTTTATTCAATTCCTTAAGTTCAGTACTAAAAGTCACATTGTTTTTGGTCAGCTTTCAGTGATCACAATTAGCTTATTGTTCATTTTTGTTGAAAACAGAGAATTGGAAGCTGCCTGACTTTTAGAAGACTGTTATTTAGAATTGTACATTCTCAAATTTGGCCACTTAAACCCAATAGGCTTTACCAAGACTCAAATAATTACTAATTGTACCTGTTAGTTTTTCACTTAGAAAAACTATTTGATCCAGTAAATTAATCCAGTTGGAAAATCCAACCTGCTACCTTCAAAACACCTTTTCAGATATATTTGGATAGGATTAATGTTCTAAATATATTTTTATCATAATATATATTTCATTAAGTATATAATTCATCAAAACCAGATTTAATCCGCTGTCACAAATAACCAACTTAGACTTCCTTTCTGTCAGAAAAAGTCTGACTTAAAAATTCAAATGCTGTGTTAATGAATTTTGAAGAATATTATAAAAATCATTAAGACTATCACAGAACACCCCTTGCAAAAGATTAATCAAAGCAGTAAAAAAATCACAGAGAATAACTGTTTTTTTTTTTTGTTGTTGTTTTTAAAAACAAGATAATACAACATGTTATTTTTCATTAACTGGTGTGGCAACTAAAATCTTAATTTACTTTCTGTAAATAGGTGATACTGATAAGTTCATGAGACTAAGTGGAGCTTCATTGTATTTAGAATAAATATGTCATGATAACATCATGAAAAGCATTTTCTGTACGTTTTATTTAGTGCATCATAAAAATTCTGGTAGTCCTGAAAAGTATTCCAAGTTGTGTTTAAAATTATTGGCATCACTAAACTATTCTTGTTTCGACCATTCAAAAGTACTTTCCGGTCAGTGAGTATGGTAAGCATGAATATTTTAAATTGGGAAAATTACGTATGAGAAAAACTATTTGTAGCATTCTATATTTCTTGGCTGCTTTACTGGTGGGGCTTCCATCAAGAGTGACGTATTTCTTCCCTGGCAGGAATCTGGCAGTGGCAATGGCCCACTTGTTACATAAAAATCTTGACTTCCACAGTACCCCATTTTACCACATATCCCACTTTGTACATCCTAACGATTCTCAAACACCCCATCTCCAAATCTCTCTTAATAGAAATACAGAACAGGGAAGGCTAAGGAGCCCCAAGGAAGCAACTTGAGCCTCGTGAAAACTTGAGTGCCTCTGGTTTGTCGAAGGGAAGAAATATTGTGGATGAGGTGTCCTGTTGTTTTTCACATTGCTCAGTTTCAGGGAAGGGTATGTGTAAAAGGTGAGGATGTTACCTTGCTCCAGGGCCCCCTTGAAGACTGAGGTTTCATGGACAGGGTTAGACATACTCCCTATGAAGACTTTCATAAGTTTTTTTTTTTCCTGTATGTTTGTAAAATGTTTCCACCAGTGATTTGTGTTGTGTTTTTTTCCCCTCCACATTTGATAAAAGCTTTTATTCAGGACTTCCTTCACGGGCACCGGGGAAACTGGGTTAATCTTTTGTAGGGGGAGTGTAAAACAAATGGACCTGCGTGAATGTCAGAGAGCTTATCTGTCAACCAGCCAACACCAAGCCTCTTGAGTTCCCTTTATCTGATAATGTCAAGGAACCTGGGTTAGCATTCTTCCCACCTCAGTCTAGTGCTTATTCAGGCCTGGGCCGTGTTGAAACTGCTCACATGCTAGGTGTATATTGTGTTAAGAAACAGTTCCCGGTGCAGACAGCTGAAACCCAATCGCTCGCTCTGCTGAGTGTCCCAGTGATTACACGGCCCTTCTGTGAGCTTGCGCCAAATGTACAATATAAAGGACACGGTGACCACGGCTTCTCATTCATTCTGTGTGTCCAGGGACAAGAATGTGGGAACGTCAAACAATAACTCAATGATGGTTCAGGAAATTCAGGAAATTCAGGTAAAATATAATAAGTAGGCCTTGGGTCATAAAACTTGCTTGAAGTCCTACATTCCTTATAAAGGCAACTTCCTTCTCTTCTACCGCCAGTTAGTGTGTGGGGAGGAGAGAGGGAAGGGGAGCTTTTGAAAATTAGATGTGATGAAGTACTAATGTAACAATTTAAACATTTTCATAAGTATTTTCCCCCCCTCTTAACTATACAGATTAATGGGACGCAATAAGGATCTTAACGCTGTTTTAGACACCGCCGTTCTTTCTTATGGAAAGGTTATTAATCCACTCAAAGATCACTCTCCTACAACATTTTTTATGGCCTTTTACAAACCAGAGTGAAGTCATTTATTCCAAGGCTCTATTTGACTGTCAGGTTTGGAGAGAAAATTTACTACTTCTGTTCAAGGTAGGAGGGAATAGAATAAGGCGAGCATTCGGGATTTCTCAGGGCAGAGAGGAATCTCTGTAGAAAGAAGGGGAGTTACGTGGGGACTGTGTAACCAGAAGGCTTCATTCAGTGCATGTTCCCCTAAGCTTATGTCCTCGGACCTCACCTTGATTTCTTGTCTTCTGTGACACATAGGATACTCTCACTTCCCTGCAAATGGTCTCTAAAATCTATCGCCCAGACCTCTATTTTGAGTTCCAGAACTTCTTTTCTACCAGCTTACTGGATATGTTATGAGTATGTCCAGCATTTAGAGTTGATATATTAAGAAACAAACACATGGCTATCCCTTCTCCCTCCTCCCATCCTATCCTTCTGCCACCTGCTCATCACTCACACTCAGAATCTGGGGTAAAACTGCCAGTTACCTGTTCTTTATGCTTACGGGGATGCTTCACTTGCCCCCTGCAGGCTGCTGTGGCTTTCTGCCCTTGGAGGAAGCCTTGATGTATTGTCCTTTGCATCTGGAAGGAAAAGTTTGCTCAGGAAGCTGGAGGAAAACCTTATGCTTGCAGAAGGTGACACCTGAGCCTGCTTGAATCAGCCGGTCCTCCTTTTGCTCCCAAAGGTAGGGTCATGTATCTGCCTGGTACATGTCATCTCTGCAGGCTCTGGACTAGTGCAGCCTCTGGAGAGAGAGGCCTGGCCCTGCCCCCTTGTGGTCTATGTTTCATGTCCTTTGTCAGTACAGGTGGGTTGATTCTGCTCTTAGGTCCACGTTCATCTCTTTAGGTTTCTAGCCTTCAGTGGAGAGAGGCTGCATAATTATGGTTCATTTAAAATTTAGTTTTCGACTTCACCACTTGTCATTGATGCAAACCATTTCTGATATCCTCTGGAGCTCTTGTGTCTCCTTAAGAAGTGCTCCTTTAAGACGAGAGAAGAAGGTTTTCCTGTGTGAGCTGTCAGATATGTAGATGGTATGTTGGAAAATTTGTATACTGCACTCTCTCCTAACTGCCCAATTTCAGACTCAGCTTGTGTGGTTCTTTTTGTGACTCGGTTATGACTATTCTGAGAGTTGCGGCTGGCTCCGTCACCTGTCTTGATAAGTATTTTCAGACCCCACTGTGTAGGGCCACTTCTAAATCAGCACAGTGGACTTCCTGGAAGTTCAGGAATGTCTTGTGGAAAATGGGGACAACTGTGGGAAATCTGTTCCTCAGCCATGGCAAGTGGATGAGATGCAAATGGGCCTAGGCTTACTTTCTGTTAGAAACTTTCAAATAGCTGGTCTAGGAAATCATTCTGTACTGGATAACCAGTAAGAGAAGGCTAGGCACTATATATTTAGCTCAGATCAATATAATTATATTGCTTATATTCAGCCAACAAATACTATTTCATTCTAATTGAGAAAGTGAGGTAGCCACTCAGTTATGAGGCATACGCAGGGAACGATAACTAGTTATATAAAGTACCTAGTTAACTAAGCAACTGACTGTAACGTAAGTTTAAAAAGGGACTCAAGTGCAGCCTGGTGTTCCAGAGCATAGGTTTTGGGTCAGATCTGGGTTTTGATCTTGGTTCTGACACTTACTGGTGGTGTGGCTTAGGTCAGTTACTTAACCTTTCTGACTCCCAGTTTTTCCCCATGAAGCATTCTTTGTAGGCTTATTGTGGGAATTAAATGAGGTAATATCTGAATCATGCCCCTCTAGTGAAGAACAGCTGATTGAGCTAGAGTATCGTAGAGTGAAACACACGTAAAACATCTTCCAAATTTTTTAGGGTGTTGTACTAGCATGGCACACTGGATGCATCCCTCAAATTTCCATGATTAAGAGATGAGCACCCCCAGACCCTGGAATAGTACTGAGATTGTTGGCAAAAGCAAAACGTCTTTGACTGTGGGAATAAGGGGATGCGAGGGACAGAAGGGCTGGCATGGGCCAGATTAGCAGGCACGTCCTACATCTGTTCAGTAGGACAGTTCACACCAACCTTCATGTAGGTTTAGGTACCAAAGTGCCAACTCCCCATCATCAAGTGGAGGTGATGGAGACATAAAATGAGTACAATCCACTATGTGGTCAAGGTACGCAGGTGGTATTTACAGGGGCAGAAGCGAAGATCAGGGGACTGAGGAGTCAGAGAAGCTTTCTCTCAGTGGAAACACAAGTTCAGTCTTCAAGAGCAAGCCAGTAGACGTTACAAGGGGTGATCGTTGGCCATGCAGCAGAGAGAGCTTGTGTAAGAAATAAAAACGTGGGAACATAAAACACAACTTGATTCTCTACGATTGTGTTTTCCCAGCATTTTCCCTCATTCTGAAGCCCTAGGCTCTAACCTGTTCTTGACTCACACTGCCGCACACTGCCGCATCATCTGCTTGGCTAACACTCAGCCGGATTTCACCTGGTAAGCACGGTTCTTGAAATTGTGTCTAAAAGTGCTGAACACAGCCGAAACCAGTTTGGTTCAGTGGTAGAGCGTTGGTCTGCGGACTGAAAGGTCCCAGCTTCGATTCCGGTCAAGGGCATGTACATTGGTTGCAGGCACATCCCCTGTAGGGGGTGTGCAAGAGGCAGCTTGTCGATGTTTCTCATCGATGTTTCTAGCTCTCTATCTCTCTCCCTTCCTCCTCTCTGTAAAATATCATTAAATATATTTTTAAAAAATAAATAAAAGTGCTGAACACGAAGCCTTGGAGAGCAGTGATGTTAGCTCCAGCACTGAGCCTGCTTCTCAGATTCCCACCAGACTGGTTCTTCCGCCAGTGCCCAGTGGGATGGGGAGTGCCCCGTCCCACTCACGTATATTTGCCCTGAGATGAATTGCGCATTCCAGCCCTATAGTAATAGCCTCCACAAACAGACAGCTTAAAAGCCAGTCTCTCACGAGTCCTTAGGAGAAAGATTAATGGGTGCCCAAGACTTGGGTTTCATTGGCTCTCCACTCTCATTTATCATCAGAATCTCTGGAGGAATTTTTAGTGCAGAGTCCCCAGCTCCTACTGCTATAGATTCTAAGGTGGAACCTGGGTCTGTATGTAAAAAATAAAAACAAAAATCTCCCACGGGGGGACTCATCCTCAGCCAGATCGGGAAACCTCGGTGGAGAAGATGGCCACTTGCCGTCTGTCCACAGACCCTCGCTGGGGGAATCTGACCCACCGGGTTCTCTTTCCCATGAGTTTGTACTGAAAGCCACTAGTCATCCCGGGCAGAGGTGAGGAGCGTACCCCCTGAGTGACAGCAGTGCTTCTCCCTGTGGACGGAGGCAGTGAAAGCCAGGGAGCGAGGGAGACAAAGAGAGCACACATGGGAAGCGTCCGAGATGAAACACGCAGAGGTGTCCTGGCAGCTCTCCAGGCCTCAGTTCCTTCCTGGGGCCTGGCCACACTCCTGTCGTCGCTGCCATGAGATGCTCCTTTATCCTTATAATAAATTCCCCTCTGTGGCTGCAGCCGGCACAAGCTGGCTTCGGTTACCTGCAATTAAAGAGCCCAACGACTCCGCGTCTCACGAAAATAGCTTCTAGGAAGAACAATCGAGGCATACACTGTCCACGCAGGCCGGGGTGCAGTATCCACTTTCTTCCCAAACGGGGGCTGGAAACGGGCTCGGGGGAGGGAAAAACAAAACACTCTCGCTATTGGGTCGTTTATTCAGCGGTTAGCTCGGTACAAGGAGTGCCCCTTTCTGTGAAAAAGAGAAAGACACTCGATCGTGGGGAGAAAGGAAGCCATGGGAGTAACACCTGGGCCAGCAGGACCCAGAGGCGCCTCCCTCGGGGAAGAGGAACCACAGCCGACCTCGTGGTACAGACGATGCTGAGGCCGAGCCAACCTGCCTTCTGAGTCAGCCCGAGGCTGGCCAGGGTCTCTGAACTGGGCAGAGACTGTGGACTAGTTGGGGTGAGACAATCAACACTGCCCAGGAAAGGAATAGCGAGCACAGCCCCTCTCAGGTGGGAACAGAGGCAGCTGCTCTTTCCCAGAGGGAGAGTCCTCACCCCTCCCGGATGTCCTCAGCATCCCTCTGCCCCCGACAAGGCACTTCAATACTAAGGTGACCAGATTTTAACATTGGTAAAGTGGGACACCATTGACCGTGTGTGTGTGTGTGTGTGTGTGTGTGTGTGTGTGTGTTCTTGATTAAAAATTTGGTCTATATGGAGCAACAAAAATTGTCATAGAATGCAAAAATAGTATTGTAATATATATTTTTAAATTTCAACATAAGTACAATTTACAAATATAATAAATAAAAAAATAATTAAGTCGTCAGTGTCACTTTCAAGGCCGGTGCTAGACTTTTTGCCGCCACTATAAAATATAAGTAATACGAGTACTGTCTGCTAAATTCAAGAAAATTTATGTATTTATGAAATCAATAAATAAATTACCTAAATTATCTGAAAAGCTCATTTGTGATGACATCAGTTGTTTAACTAGTTTGCTAGCACTCCGTACGATGTGCATCGTCTGAGAGACAGTTGCAAAATGTTTTCTTCGTTGCCAATCCCCAAAATGCCATTGTTCATTAAGTCCAAACAATGGTGGTCGAATTCTAACAACTGATCAACAATGCGAGCTTTGATAAGCAGTTCTCCATAATCAGTTCTCAATAATTATTTGTGATTATTAAAGTTTAACATTATAAAATTAACAAAAATAATGTAAAACTCATATCCTGGCTAAATAGCCACATGGCCGCCGAAAACCGTATATTCCCTTCCTGTTCTCCCGCTGTTCCCTAGCTGGTCATGCATTCTTTCCAAAAACTGGGACTTTTTTTAAAACGCTGCGGGACGTGGGACAAATTGTTAAAAATCGGGACTGTCCCACCAAAAGCGGGACTTCTGGTCACCTTATTCAATATCCTTCTGCTTTCCAACAGGAAACATGTTTAAGTCTCCAGCCGCCACCACGCACCTCAAACAAAGCCAAACGTACATTCACCTGCCAGGGGACGGGGCATTTAGAGCAGCGTCCTTCGGTGGGTCTGTGAACTCAGTGGCTTACTCCACAAAAAAGCCTGAGGCCACGGAGGCCACTGGGACCAAGCAGCCCTGCTCTGCTGGGTCCTGTGGCCTCAGAGAGACCCTGAACCTGGCCAGCCGATGCCCGACCCCGGAAGAGAGACCGGAAATGAGTGACAGGAGTGCGGAGGCAGAAAAAGCCATTGCAGAGTGCAAAATCGGGTCTGTAACATCCTTATGCCCTGTACTAGTGACCTTCACATTACTTCCCAAGGCCCCTCGGGGGTGTGCATAGCACCCTAAGGAGAGTGGGGTCTGAGTGTCGCCCCGCCACTGGCTCTCAACAGAGCAGCTCCACCTTGATCTGTTTATTCACTGGCTCCTTGCCATTTTGTTGGCAGGATGGATTCATAACTCATCACGCCAACAGCTCCCAGGGACCATGCATGCAGGCACATGCACCAAGCCGGGCTCGGTGTTTCAGGCGCCTCGGCTTGATTCCTTCAAACAACTCCATGGGGTAAATTCTGTTTCTGTCCCCAGAGTCCAGCTGAGGAAACAAAAATCAAGTATCTTGTGAAGATGACAAAGCTAGTATGTGGGAAAGCCAGGGGTTGAATGCAGCTCCCTCCACCCCTGGAGCCTTGGCCAGTGTCCTCCTGGAGGGACCACAAGGAGAAACCTCCGACAGAGGAAAAGGAAAAGTCAGCCATGCACTGGAGCAATCACTCCCAACCTCCACTGCACATCGACTCACTAGGAGGCTTTAAAGATTGTGGACACCAGGCTCTTGCCTCTGGAGACACTGTTTTAATGGATCTTGGAAGCAGCCTGGGCACAGGGATTAGTTTTTTAAAGACTGAGAACCCCTGCCTTAGAGAAACAGTGATAGGAATTCAATAATTAAAATTACATGTCAACGCTGACTGGAGGGTGTCAAAGACAGGAATTTCCCTCGCGGCAAAGTGCTTAGCTGATGGAATAAGAAGTGTCCTGTGAGAAAGAGAAAGAAACACAGCCAAACCTTTCCTCTCTTCCTTCCTCACGGCTTCTCTAGGCACTTGAGTGCATATGGCGGTCACTTATTTGGTGCAGCCGACACAGCAAACAACTAAAATAAAGAGAAGATGGAAGGACATGAGAAAACTGGGAACTGGGGTCTGCTGTCTACAATTCTGTCTTTTATGTACTCAGCCCTGGACTGGGGTATGGTGAGGTGAGGGAGGCCTCAGGTACAAAATTTAAGGGGACTCAAATAAAACCCTTCTGTCTCAAGATACATAATATTTTAGTGCCATATTAAAAATCTATCAATGCAGAAAACATCCACAATGAACAGAATGTCAATGATTCAATCATAGCCAGAATCTGACAGGGCTGAGGCTAGGTAAGGGGGTGGTGTGAGTGGTACAGGTGTGGGGAGGATTTCCCATCTTTATTTAAAATAAATATTTTTAGAGAAACCAAGATGGCGACATAGGTAAACAACTAAACTGTTGCCTTGCACAACAATTTCAAAACTACAATGAAAAGACAAAATGGACGTCATCCAGAGCCACAGGAAGGGTGGCTAAGTGGAAATTCTGTAACTATAAGGAAAGAAAAGCACACTGAGACTCAGAGGAGCTGCAGGAGGCAGAGGAACTGAGATGCGCACGTGTGCAGAGAGGACTGGCAACTGAGTGTTCAGCTGGCTTTCTCAAGCAGGAAGGAGAAAAAAGCTCCCAACTGTGCTGAACTCTAGTTCTGGGCAAGATTCTGGAGACCCAAACTCATTCAGGGAGAAACTGGACAGGGCAGGGCTGATGGGAAACCAATGCTGTTTGATCCACCCTGAGACTCCACCCCATCTAAGCTGAGCACAGAGGCTTTTGCAAGTTTTGTCTCATAAGGGTGTCTCCAGCACAGAAGTTCTTCCAGCATAGACACAGCTGATCCTCACAGCCAATTGGCCTGGAGGTCAATTCCTCCCAGTGATACCAACAACAATCAAGGCTTAACTACAACAAGACTATACACACAACACACAAAGGGGTGCATCAAGAGTGTCCACCTCAGGTAACTGGGAAAGCTGAGCTACTGGGCCCTATAGGACACCTAGCACACAAAGCCACTCTATCAACTCGGGGAAGCAGCCAAAATGTGGAGACAAAGAAACAGATCACAAATAAAAGAAAAGCAAATGACTGGATATAGAGTTCAAAACCACGGTTATAAGGTTCTTCAAGAATTTTCTAGAAAAGGCTGATAAATTTAGCAAGACCCTTGAGGATATGAAAGAGACCCTCGAGGATATGGAAAAGGACCAAATGGAAATTAAACATACATTGACTGAAATAAAAAATATTATACAGACAACCAACAGCAAACCAAAGGAATGCAAGAATCAAATCAAAGATTTAAAATACAAAGAAGCAAAAAACACCCAACCAGAAAAGCAAAAGGCAAAAAGAAGAAGAAAAGGTAAAGATAAAAAATATGAACAACAAATACATATCTATCAACAAGTGAATCTAAAAATCAAGCGAATAAAAAAATCTGATGAACAGAATAAACTGGTGAATATAATAGAATCAGGGGCATAGAAAGGGAGTGGACTGACAATTCTCGGGGGGAAAGGGGTGTGGGGATGTGGGAAGAGACTGGACAAAAATCATACACCTATGGATGAGGACAGTGCGGAGGAGTAAGGGCAGAGGGTGGGGTGGGAACGGGTGGAGGGGAGCTATGGGGGGATAAAGGAGGAACAATTGTAATAATTTGAACAATAAAGATTTATTACATTAAAAACAACCCCCCAAAAATAATTACAAGCATTATTGGATGAAGATGCATATCAAACTCAAAAACAACTTGCAGAAAGATTAAACGTTGATCAGCAAAAAATTTCCAATCGTTTATAAACAATGGGGAAGATTTTAAAGGAAGGAAAATAGGTGCCACCTCTACTGAATGAAAGACAAATGGAAAACAGAAAAGTCATCAGTAAAATGTTGCTTCAACGGCACAAAAGGAAGTATTTTTTGCATCGAATTGTGACTGGAGATGAAAAGTGGATTTATTTTGAGAATCCCAAAGGCACAAAATCATGGGTTGATCCAGGTCAACCATCAACATTGACTGCAAGGCCAAATCTCTTTAGAAAGAAGACAATGCTCTGTGTTTGGTGGGATCAGGAAGGTGTGGTGTATAATGAGCTTCTAAAACCAGGTGAAACATTAATACAACAAATAATCAATTTGAATCAGGCTTTAATGTTGAAATGACCAGAATTTTCTAGAAGACACAGCAAAGTAATTTTGCTTCATGATGACGCACCATCACACACTTCAAAACCAGTTAAAGACACGTTAAAAAATCTTGCCTGGGAAATATTAACCCATCCGCTGTATTCACCAGACCGTGCTCCTTCAGTTTACCACTTGTTCTGATCGATGGCACCCGCACTTCTGACCAGCACTTCAAAATATACGAAGAAGTGGAAAATTGGGTCTCTGAATGGTTTGACTCAAAACAAGAAAAGTATTATTGGGACAGTATTCACAAATTACCTGAAAGACGTGGGAAATGTGTAGCTAGTAATGGACATTACTTTGAATAGAGCACTTGGGAGGTATCTCTTGAAATTATCGTGTTTTCTTTGATTATAAAATCTGCTATTATTAACAGGTACACCTAATATGTGTGTGTGTGTGTGTGTGTGTGTGTGTGTGTGTGTATATATATATATATATATATATATATATATATATATTTATATATATATATATTCCCAAAAAACATATACACATCTTAACAGCTGATAGCTTAATTTTGAAAATGAAATGCATTTTAATAAATACTGTCTTTATAATTATTCAAAGTGTGTGTTTTGGGGACATCCTATATATTATCACTTTGCAAACTTTCTGGTACATTCCAAGTGCTAAAAACATGACAAAACGTTTTCTAAGTTTATTCTATAACACATGTGTCAAACACAAGGCCCGCGGGCCAAATCCGTCCCGCCAGGCCTTGCAATGTGGCCCGCACCGCGCTGTCATCACTGCACTCCGCTGCGTTTCCATCACAATGACAGTTTATGACTGTTCAGTAAACCATTCGGCCCGCGATTTAGGCTGGATTTTAGATTTTGGCCCCTTCTCTGATTGAGTTCGACACCCCTATTCTAGAAGCTCTACCTTCTTATCTCAGTCCACTTTCAGAACATTTCACCATTCACGGATACCTCCCCAGCAGGTAGGCCCAATCAGCCAGTTTTTTGGTTTATTAACACATCCGGCAAGTTGTCATTAAAATGGGTCAGGATTAGAGAAGAAATGGAGAAGCCAGGATTCTAGTTGCAGGTTTCGGACCAGCTGGATGGTGTTAGGTACATCCCTTCCCATTTCTGGGCCATTTTATTTCTTCCTTATGAAGAAAGCACGTCTTTTTCACACATGGCTTCATGAGAATGTTTTTTCTACTGTAACTGCTTACAATTCCTGATAATAGTATCTGTCCTGTTGTTCTCCTGTTGCGGGGATCAAAGAGATACGGTGCAAAAGTGACTCTCAGCTGCACACTCAGGTGGACATCAACTTTGTCAGGGAGTACTTCTTCAGGTGAGCTCAGTTCACCTGGTTCTGATACTGGACTCCAATAAGTCTTAGGAGTCGATCCTTTATTTGGGACTTTAAAAACAATAGCAGAAAGGATGAACCGAGAGTAACAAAACTTGGACAATGAAATGAACTACATATGATTTGCTAAATTCTCAATTTAAGTAGAGAGAATAACATGCCTTCTTGTAGTAACCACACTACTTTCCCTCAGGGCATCGGGGTCACGTCTAAGACCGACTGCCTCTTCATCCTGCCTGCAGCTGCTTCGTCCGTTGTCCTGAGTTTGTATATTTTGATTTTCTGGAGTATCCCAGGTAATTACGCATTCTCCTCAGGGATGTGTTTGAATAATCAGGTCTTTTTCACACACGGCTTCATGGGAGTGTTGTCTTTTCTACTATAATTGCTTACAATTCAAGCTTGAGATGCTGTCGTTTGCCAGCCATCATTAGAGAGTGAGCACGGTGTAATGACCGAGAACATGGCTCTGAGGCCATGCGGTGCTGCCAAGTAAGTGGCCTTCTGTTAAATGGAGCGAAATAGCCCTGATCTCAGAGGGTGGTAGTGAGAAATGAAAGAATTAATGTTTATGAAGTTACTTAACATAGTGCCTAGTAAGTAGTAACCCACTCAATAAATGCAAACTATTATTGTATTGCTCCTATTTAACTTCACTATTACACTGTGCAATTCTGACATAGAGGTTTGTTCTATGGGGCAATGTCTGTGAATTCCAACTACTGCTCCCTATTAAACTTCCTGGCAATGTCTTTTATCTCTCTACTTCCTGCTTTCTTCCTCTCCTCACAGCGGCAATGGGAATAGTTGCATAGACCAATTCTAGGAAGTCATTCCCTCTTGGTTCATAATATTAAACATACACCCACTGATTGTAGCTACTGACAATTCTATCACGCGGCAGTCCTCTGTCCATTTTGGATGGTCTATAATAGCACTTTGTAAATGATGAAGAATAAAGTTCTAGTAAAAATAGTTGACATTTGATTGGGATTGATAACATTCAGTTATTTTGCAGTTTATGGAAGCTAACTCATTTTTGTAAAAGGGCAACTACAGTGTTTCTCTGAAAATAAGACATCCTCTGAAAATAAGACCTAGTACATGGAAAGATAAGACATCCCCTGAAAATAAGACCTACCGCAACTTTGGGAGAAAAAATTAATATAAGACACTGTCTTATTTTCGGGGAAACAGTGTAGTATCCATATCTAAAAACAGTTCTCAGTTGCCCTGGCTGGGTAGCTCAGTTGGTTATAGTATTGTTCCCATACACCAAGGTTGTGGGTTTAATCCGGTCAGGGTACATATAAGAATCAACGAATGAATGCATAAATAAGTGAAACAACAAACCTCTCTCTCACTCTCTCTTCCTAAAATCAATATATATAAAATTAAAAATAAAACAGTTCTAAGTGGTTGAGAGACAGAGGCTATAAAATCCTGCTACCAGAGCAGGGACCTTTTGGGCTAGCTGACGACAGGATGGTCAAGTTAGAAGTGTGACATCATAATTGCACAAGTACATATTTGAGGATTACAATTATTCATTGAAACAGAATATTAAAACAAAAATCTAATAAAGGGCCAAAACCGGTTTGGCTCAATGGATAGAGTGTCAGCCTGCAGACTGCAAGGTCCCAGGTTCGATTCCAGTCAAGGGCATGTACCTTGGTTGCAGGCACATCCCCAGCAGAGGGTGTGCAGAGGCAGCTGTTAGATGTTTCTCTCTCATTGATGTTTCTAACTCTCTATTCCTCTCCCTCTCTGTAAAAAAATCAATAAAATATATTTAAAAAAATCTAATAAAGAAAGGGTTGTGATATAAAATAGTTGATTAACATTCCTGTGCTAATTTATTTTAAAAATTATTTTTCTAATTTAAAAGGAATATATGGCAATATACAAATTTGAGATAGATGAATATATGTGTATATATTTTTAAAAAGTCACTTATTATACCATTACCTAAAGATGGCCAGCATCTAATTTTTGTTTTGAGTTGGAAACAAGCGTATACCATTTGAGAAATGACCTACCGTTTTAGCATATGCTCTCTGTTCGTCACAGCAGCTCTGAGGTGGGCAGTCTATATTCTCAATGGAAACAGCCTCTGAAAGCCTGGCATTTTGTCAAGTTCACAGAGTTGGTAATGGGAAGAACCAGGATTTGTATTGGAGTCTTTAACTTCAAAGTGAGCATTGTCATCAGACACAGGAAAGTAGATATTGTGTGTTTCTTTTATTTGAAGTTCTAAAAGAGAGAAAACTAATCTGTGGGAATAGAAATCAGATCAGTGGCTGCCTGGGTGGTGTAGGCAGGGAGGTGTTGGGCAATGATTAGGAAGGGACATGAGGGATTTCGGGAGGAGTAGAAATATTTTATATCTTGAGTTGGGTGTTGTTTACACAGATGTCGACTTCTGTCAAAACTCTTAGAAGAATGCACTTAAGATCTGTACATATCACTGTATGTAAATTATACCTCAATTTTAGAAATAATTTTTTACTTTAAAGGGATATTAAATTTGGAAAATGGACAATGCTGTAATATATTAATAATGCAAATATGTCTTTACGTTTTAAAAATATAAGCTATTTTAAGTATCTAAGCAGACTTCTTCCCTTTGCTTGTGTATTAATTTCCTGTTGCTATTCTAACAAATTACCACACACTTAGTAGCTTAAAATAACATAAATTTATTATCTTTAAAATTGGTCTCACTGGGCTCAAGTCAAGGTGTTGACAGGGCTGTGTTCCTTCTGGAGACTCTAGGGGGGATCCATTTCCTTGGTTTAGAAAGAGGAATTAAAAACGATGGTTCAATGAGAAGATTTCCAAATGACCCATAAACATGAGTGTACTCAGCCACCTTAGTAATTCAATAAAATGAAATTAAAAAATAATGTCTATCAATAGCAAAATAGAGTTGTGATTTAACCATGTAATGGCATACTATACAGCTATGAAAAAAATGAACAGGAAATATAAACAATAAGGGATTGTTATTTATACTCAAATGTAATAATGTGTGGAATTAGCCAGTAACAAAAGAATACATATTGAGTGATTCTAATTATGTGAAGTTAAAAGAAAAAAACTAAACTTATAGTGTTGAGGGATGGGAATATATAGAGGAGCAAAGCAGTCAGAATAATAAGGAAGGAAGGGTGGAGAAAGGGGATGCATGGTTTTTTGGAAAGAAGACAAAAAGGGCTTTAGGGATGCTGGCAATTCTTGTTTATTGACCTGGGTAGTGGTTATTTGGGTATTTATCTTGAGGTCATCATTGTGCTGTGTCTTTGTATGTATACTCTACTTCCCAATTAAAAAGTTAGAGAAAAACACCACAAAGTGGGTCAAGACAGAAAGGAAAACCAGAGCTCATTAGAAGGCATCCAAGAACCTAGGATGCTATTGGAACGGTGAAGCACTGAATTTAACTTCTGGTGTGCAGGGGCCAGTGCAAAAAGGGAAACACACCATATAGTTCATATTGTCTGATAAAAATCAGCACACGCTTGCCTGGAGAGACAGATATTTCTCTGGCTCTAAATTGTGGGCAGGATATTGTGCTCATTACATAAGAGGTAAGGACAATGTATTCTGTTTTGGATTTTCTGAAGACCACAAGTGTTCCTCAGATGCCATTTCTTGTCTGAATTCTTGATAAAAGCTGAGAGCGCAGCATTCAATCATAGCTCAGTGAAGGCATTTCTGAGGGGATCTTATGTTAACACCATCCTGTGGCTTTCACAGTAGGAGCTCTAAAGAAATTCCAGCTGTTCCTTGAATGCAACCTCTGTAGGTATCCTCAACGATGATCCCAGAAGTGTCTGAGGCTGACTCACTCTATGGAGGGTTTCCTTGGTTTTTACCTATGGCACCATTGGCTCACTTCCTTGACCTCTACTTGGCTTTGACCACAACTCATCTCCTATTGCTGAGCATGCCCGACTCCCCATTTTGGGGTTGGGGCTACTAAGTATTTCTAAGAGAGGCTGGCTCTGCATTATGTAATGAATGTAAATTGGTGCAATATTTTCTTTTGCTCTCCTGCTTCTCAAAGAATATGAACATGAACCCAAGCCTTGGATAGGAAGACCCTTTTCTCTGTAGTCCCAAGATGTTGCTTCAGTGTCAGGGAAGAAGCTGTTTGGCTCAGAGAGAAGAAAGATAACATACAAAAAAAAAAGAAGAAAGAAAGAAAGAAAGAAAGAAAGAAAGAAAGAAAGAAAGAAAGGAAGAAAGAAAGAGAGAAAGAAAGGAAGGAAGAAAGAGAGAAAGAAAGGAAGGAAGGAAGGAAGGAAGGAAGGAAGGAAGGAAGGAAGGAAGAAAGAAACAATATTTGGGAGAATAGGAGTTGAGAAAGAGATAAGGACAGACACTGAGAGACTAAGTGACAAAGACCTAATGGTATGGAATAATGATTTCCATGTCTGGAGTCCCAGAGTTTCTTGTCTTTCTGATCATGGATGAACAAAGAGCCTTTCTTTTAATCCATGAGGTACACTTATGTAATATACTTATATATATCAATACTAGAGGCCTGGTGCATGAAATTCATGCCTGGGGAGGATTCCTAGGCCTGGTCGGCAATCAAGGCTGATTGGGGCCTTCCAGCTGCCACCTGGGGTCTTCCTTCCAGCTGCTGGCCAGGGCCTCCCTTCCCAAGATTCCAGCTTCCAGCTGGGACCTTCTTTTGTTCCATGTCGCCTCCTGGTTGTCAGTGCATGTCATAATGAGCAATTGAACTACTGGTCCCCCCGTCAAAATCCCGAGGGGACAATTTACATATTAGGCTTTTATATATATATATACTAGAGGCCTGATGCAGGAAAATTGTGCAAGAGTATGCCTTCCTTTCCCCAGCTTCCAGCATAGGCTTCCTCTGGCACCCGGGACCCAGGAGCCCTGGCTTCAACTGGAAGGACGTTGGGTCTAATTAGCATATTACATTTTTATTATATGAAATCCATGCACAGGTAGGGGGGATGTCCCTCAATTCAGCCTGCACCCTCTCCAATCTGGGACCCCTCTCACAATCCAGGACTGCTGACTCCCAACTGCTTGTCTGCTTGTCTTCCTAATTTCCCCTAACTGCTTCTGCCTGCCAGCCTGATCACCCCTAACCACTCCCCTGACAGCTTGATTGATGCCTAACTGCTCCCCTGCCAGCCTGTTTGTCCCTAACTGCCCTCCCCTTCAGGCTTGGTCACCCCTAACCACCCTCCCCTGCAGGTCTAGTCACCCTTAACTGCCCTCCCCTTCAGGCCTTGTCCCCCACAACTGCTCTCCCCTGCAGGCCTAGGTCCCCCCCAACTTCCCTTCTCTGAAGGCCCAGTCACCCCCAACTTCGCTCCTCTGTCAGGTTGGTCACCCCTAACTGCCCTTTCCTGCAGGCTTTATCATCCCCAACTGTCCTCCCAACTGTCTTCCCCTGCTGGCCATCTTGTGTCTACATGGGGTCAGGCATCTTGTGTGTTGGAGTAATGGTTGATTTGCATATTGCTCTTTTATTAGGATAAATTTTTTTAAAAATCTTCTTTAAACAAATCTGAGTCAGGTTTCTATCTCTTGATACTGGAAGAATATGAATGAACACCACTATTTTGAGAAGAATCAACTCCTACACTTAATCCATTTGATCTAACTCTCCCAGAACCCGCGATCTCCTGGGATCCTGGCCATGCTCTCCCACTAAAGCCAGCTATGTTCTGGGCAAAGTAGCACATACCAGCATTATTGA